TGTCATTGGGCAACGAGAAGGCACTTCGTTTGTATGCACCCCATCCTTGCAATCGTCTATCAGGTCTTACTCTAATACTCTAAGGCAATACAATTTAGAATGGTGACAGACCCAGAGGAGGTTTTCAACCCTCTGGTGTAGCCTGAACTATGATCACCAAGGTAGTTGATTCCAACAGTCACAATCCCCTGACTGTGAAATAAAATTGCCCTCGCACAAGGATGGTGTCTCCTATTTAATTTGGCTGATAATTGACAACGCTGTGATCGTCTAATAGTGTTTTTGACTTGGTATTACCTTCGTGACGTGTCCACTGCTCCGAGAAGAGGTCGAATACAATTGTGTTTTTACTGTTTCACATTCATTCCAGCAGCAGGAACATTTTGCGGGCATAAGCTACAATAGGCTAAAATAGAATTCATTTGCCACAATGAATTATTTTCTATGTAAGCAAACTTGAAGAATTTCATTTATCCTGAAGTATAGGTCATTCAAATCTGGTCAAAATCAATCTCACTATCATTTTTGTCACCTTATTACCTGTGTCCCCAATGGAATTTTCCCTCCAGCACATCTGCCGCGATGTTATCAACCTCACTTGTTCCCAAGTACGAACCGCATGTGCAAATGAAGGATTGAGTTTCGCGTTAAACGTACAATACTTTATTTGTTTTCAAGAATTACTTCAGACCTAAACCGTGGCTTCTCAGCGGACGGTTTCATTTTCCCCATGGGTTGTACAACTGTCCATCCGGCGACTATAGTTGTGAACACTCTCCCATCTATGTCAGGCAACTTGCTTTGGGGGGTGGCAGGAGGGATTATGACGCTCAAAGTATCTCTACCCTCATTTGTCATTGTTATTCTTCTTTTGGAACTTAACAATCACATAATAGATCATGAATTGCTAGAAAAAATGAACGTTTAACGGATAAGTGTGTATGATTTGAAGAAAAGTTCACATTTTTCGTATTATGCGTGTATCTCCTATAGTCAGATGACAGGTACCTTGACGGAAAATACTTTACGGTCCTCTGCATAGCAGACTTGCAGTGGGTTTCATCTGAATTGAAATATATACCTCTTTGGGTTATTTAATTCATGACTATTTACGTTTGAAAACTCCGCTGTTGACAATGGCAGATGGGAACA